GAGAACAGGGAGAGGAAAAGACACAAATACTTTCTTGCAGCCAGGTGAGGCAGTCATGTTCTAGTTTTGTCAGTGCTTACCCAAAGTAGTAGAGTATTGTCCTCTTCAGGAGACAGTGACTGAATATGGGGATAGAGACCCTTAGTATGCAAATATGAATATTGTCATGACCCAGAATAATAACCACACTGTATTTCTGGTGACTCAGTGAGCCGTTCTTTTTTCATGGTACAATAGGGGACCACAAATGAAAATTATGTTTCAGTGATAAATGACTTTGTCAATTTTTAATTTCTTTAACCTCGCTGCCTTTTTGCATTTAGTTAAGACAATAGGCAAAAATTGATAAAATTCCCCAAAAGAAACCAACTAGAAATAAACCAGATTCATCAATAAGGATGAATTAGAGGGAATGAAACAGAATGGTTCCAATATGTGTTTTCAGAGGAAAAGATAGTCCATATTGGTTTAGTGAAGTCAAACATATCTGAAAGAATATATCTGAGTTCTTTGATCAGTAATTTTTACTAATATCTCCCTCATGTTACAGGCATCATATATAAAATGCAGCCTTCACACTGCCTCTGCTCTATCTGTCAGACATTGGCTATGTCTACACAGACAACTTTCTTGTTACAACTTCCTAGTGATTCTTATCACACACTGCCTTAACAAGTCTTTTGTTTGCCTAAAACTTGAGTTTCAGAATCTGGCTTCTTTCCTAGCAGGAATATTGAGCCATCACTCAGTTCTTGCATCTCAGGGCTTCCGCTCATGATATATCAAAGACTCAAGCAGAATTCTGGTCCTGTTGGAAGGAATTAATAGGAGAGTAAGTCAGTCATATGTGAACCAACCTTCTGTCCAGCTCTCCCACCTATCATTTCTAAATAGATAAATGGCTCAGGCTTTTAGTTTTGCTATTATAAATATTTCAGAGCCCTGATGGTCCCTTATTACTTGCCTAACTTTCCATCTATTGACTAAATGTGAAGGTTTCTGCTTATCTCCTTATTCAAGCCAGAGCCTTAGAAAAGAAAAAATTCTTCACCTCCAAAGCTGTCTTTCCACTCACATACTTTTAGGCCTTCTAATAACAAGTGGTGGATTCATTCATTTCATAGACAAGAATTTCTACTGAGGGTAGCAAGAGTCCTTGTTTTGAAGAATGTGTGATTCAAATGTCCCCACTGGCATGTTCTCATATCTGTCATTGGCCTGTGAACTTGTAAAGATAAAGACCATGAGGTAAGATGGGATATGGAATCAGACAGACAAGCAGATTCTGTTTTTGTAAATGCCTCCATGCAAACATGTTTTTTTTTTCAAGTAGAATTACAGCACAGATAGATATAAAAGAAGATGCTTTTAAGCAATGTTATGAAAGACAATAAGCTCTCTGAGGCAATGTTAAGTACACATTAAATATTTCCCTCCTTATGCTGGTGATCTCTGCACAGGACATCTTGTACTATCCACCAAGCTCAAAGTCATCAGAGGATCTTTCTGTTTCCAGTCTCCCTGATGACAGTATGGGCTGCACTTGGGAAATATAAAGCAGCAACAGAGTGGCTCAGGATAGTGACTCAAGCAGGACAATTTCCGAGATGTTGCTTTCATAGGAATAGTATTAATACTGACAGAAATGGAAACAAGGACATGAGTTTAACTGAAACAAGATGAAAGGTTGTTATGATGAAGCCTAAGCCATGGCAGCATCTGTGTGTGAACATCATCCTTCAGTGGCAGTGCAACAGCAGAGAATGTCATTGCTCTGTAACATGCAGCACATCCCCTCTGCTCCTGAAGGCCAGTGGAAACATCACACCAGAAGAGGAACAAACCCATGACTTATGATGACTTAACTATAAAGGAAGGTGGTACTCCTCTTCCCCTCCCCCGCTCCCGCTTCCCATTTCAGACTACACTTTGTTCCTCTTTTCCCTCAGCTGATTTTGAGAAGGAATGAGTTATATGCAGCTTTTTGATTAGATTTCTTATGTATGTGGCAGTTCTTTTTGCTGGAGTTGCTACATTTGTCACTTCATTGTCTTCCATATTGCTAAAGGGCACCTGAAGCAACGAGGTTGCCCAGGAAATTACTGCAGGAAACAGGAATTCCCTTTCAACTTTGCCAGGAATGGGAGTCAAAGCATACAGATTTCTCCTGGAGAGAAAACTATATCTTAGTTATAATGCAATGCTTTGTTTTCTGGCTAACTTTTGGAGCTACTACTCTGTATCAGCCATATGGCTTTATAAATCACCAGCTATTATGGTTTTATATAGACTTTATATGAAACTTGAGCAAGTAAATCTGTTTAGCCTAGAGAAGATTGATAGGTGACCTTATTAACATGCATAAATACCTGATGGGAGGATGTAAAGAGCATGGGGACAAACTCTTTTTGGTGGTGGCCAATAACAGGACAAGGGGCAATGAGTATAAATTAAAACACAGGAAGTTTAATCTCCATGTGAGGAAGAACTTTTTTACTGTGAGGGGGTTGGACTAGATGATCTCTAGAGGTCCCTTCCAACCTTAACCATTCTGTGACTCTGTGATTCTGTGAAATCTTTTACTTTCTCAAGTAAATCATTTACTCTCTTCTCAAGGGTCTGACTGAACACACCTGTTCCAAATTGAATATGATTATGTTTATTTTTACTGCCAGCTAAGTAGAAGTTTGGCAAATATGTGAAACCTACTACTTCCATTATTAAATCAAAAAGAATTGTATCAATAATCAGACATATAAATCAATTTCAAGATCTAGTGTACAGGCCTGTCAGAGAGATAAAAGTATATATTAATGAGAGCCCTATTTTTTTTCTTTGCCCCACTTCTGGCAAGCCCAAAGAAAGTGTCACTGTAGCTGGATGAAAGCAACAAACTATTTCATGAGGAGAAAAGACAAGTCTTATTCTTACATGTTGTCTATTCAGAGCACGATTTTTCCTTGTGTATAAATTATTCTTTTAATGTGGGTCTGTCATCCTCAGGCTGTGTTATGTTGCTTCCTAATTACTGTTTCTTCCCTACTCTTTTTTTGCTCCTACAGCCATTGATTTATCAAATGCTTAACTATCCTTAGCAGGAAGGACACAGATCTAAGGTAGTTGAAGGGAGAGGCGAATTTTCTTCACAGTATTATTTAAATATTAATAAAAAACGCAGTGTTTTGGCAGCTACACCTACGCTATCGATTGAGTACATGGTGTCACTCATTGCCATATGAGCTAACTGCTGAACAAGTCATGCCTTATTTAGCCACTGAATTCAGGAACCTCATTTTTAGGAAAGGCAGTGTGTTCCTTCTAAGTGAAATCCACTGGTGAGTGGACTGGCATGGGAATGTGTGGGCAGCAGCGGCAACATAAGAGAAAGAACTATCAAGAGCTTTGATCTCCCCTCATAACAACCCCCACGTAGCAAACACATGCTCCACTGTTTGAGCCTAGCAGGATTCAGATTCACATGAGCTTGTGTCAGGATATTGTGGATCCAATGATTTTTTCATTTCTTCTTATTGTAAAACCTACTGGAGGAAAATACTCTATATTCATGCATAATTTCCTATTTTCCCATTGCAGCTCCTTTAATGGGGGTCAAAAATCTTTGTTAGTCAAATTAATGGCTGTTAGTGGTGCTGTCTCCATTGTACAGAAGACTGAGCTGATGTATTGGCATGGCATGGCATGGCCATGCTCATCTAAAAATAACAAAATAAAACCAAGACTCATGGCTGACCATTTGCCTTTGTAAGATTAGCTTCATTTCATAACCCCACCCTTTAGGCTGGGGGGGAAAGTAGCCCATCAGGAACCATTAGCACTTACTACTTCATTTTTTCCCCTAACTTTCCAAAGTAAAAACTTCTATTCCCATAAGAACTTAATAAAAGGTACTTTTATTCTGATTATGAAAACTACTTTATAGCAGTTAGGTTTGCACCAAGTGTTTCTTGTTCTTCTAATAAATCTTCAGAAACAAAGAAAATGAAAAAGCAAATTCTTAGACTGCAGTAGAGTTGGTTAGAAAAGCATAAATAAATCCCCTTCTGTTTGAGGGAATGGATTGCTTTGATTTTCTCATATTGAAAAACAAGACAATTATATTCAGCCATTAAAGAACATCAGTCAAGACTATAGCAACAACAGAAATATATACAGCTTTATTATGAAATAGTGTCTAAGAAATTTTTAGTAAAATAGTTTGGAGGAAAAAGAAATCTATTCAATAAGATGCAAAAACTTCTTGGAGCTCTGGTACATGCCTGGTGAGGCAAGGAGGAAGAACATTTTCTACTGCTCAGCACAGGCTTCTGCCTTCCTTCTCTGCTAGAAATCTGTAATGCAAATTTGTAATACAGCTTGCCGAGGAACATAAATGCTTTTTCCCAGACCCCAGAATTCACAACCCAGCATCTTAACACACACCAAAACAGATATTCCTGTTCCTATTTGATGTAAGGGAAATCTCTGAAACTGATTGATTTTCCAATGGTCACACAGAAAATATTGGGAGAAAGAAAGCTCAGATTTCTGAACTGCAAGTAGCTGAAAAATACTACCTTTCACTAGCATGTGAATACACTTCTGTATTCCCAAAATGACATACTCACTGTAACACTTGTTCCCTGAGGAAGAACAAATGAAGCAGGGATTTTTTTTCATTATTGGATGTAGCTAAGTTATTACGGCAGCAAAAGAAGCAGAAAAATATGATTTAAATAGAGACTCTTTTTTTTTCTGCTGCTTGAATACTAGTTTACTGGATACTAAAGATCATATTTAACAAAGTTCACTGATGGTTCCTCCTACTCACGTTTTTCAATTTTGTTCAACTTTCTTCATTTTCACCTGAAAAGGGTCCTAGTTTTAGCAATCTCAAAAAATAATGAGACTGTAAACAGGATGACAAATGCTATTTTCATTGAAGACTATTTCTGAGGGCTGACAATGCACAAGTTGGACCTGTCAGCAGAATACTCTGTGCCACTGTCTCAAAGGCAGTACATTTTGGAGTGAAAAGAGACTTTTTTTGAGAAACCAAATCATTCGGGGCCTCACCAGATTTCCTTCAGCACGGGCTTCTTAAGCATCTTAAGCATTCATGAGATGCTACACTAGTCACTCATGCTCTTTTCATATTGGAACTGATCTTATTCTCAGTCTTTGTGGAATTACTGTCTTATCTAAACTGTCTACTACAGGTTAGTAATAGTTACAAGATTATGGTGTATTGCACTGTGGCAAATTCTGATTTACCATTTGGTTTAAGTTTGTGCAAAGGACATGGAGCTTAGCCGTTTGCTCTGGTTTTGTAAGGTAGGTAAGAATGTTTTGAGAGAGGTGTTGCACACATGAAAAAATCAAAATCATATTACTGCCTTTATAATACATTGGGAATCATAATGAAACCATGCAATGACAAAATTTCTGCCTCTTCACAAAGAAATCGTTTTATATATATATAGGCTCATGCCAAAGGCATGAAATTAAACATTCGGACATCTTTATTTTGGATGTTCCCTTCTGATTATCACAATTACTGTTTATTTATCATTGCAGTAAAAATCAGATGCCAGTAATACCAAGGGAACATTACTGACCCTGAGATGGTTTATAGGGTATTGAGACAGCGTGTTCCATTTTTCTGTCTTTTTATCAAAAGGAACAACAGTGGTAGTAAACATAAAGCAAATTTACTCCAAAGAACAGAGATCATTCTGGACTTTGCTGTGGGTGGCAAGAAATGTGAATTTAAGAACAGACTTATCCTCGTATTTCACTGTCAGCTCAGATATATGCACAAAGCCACAAATCTGCTTCACTAAGCTTCTGAATATTTCTGTTGTGGCTCAGTGTACCTTAATTTCAAAGCCTCTTAAAAATGCTAGTTCTACGGTGTTTATGTCAACCTAATTCATAGTCTTTCTGAGTTTTTGAGTGCTGTTAACTACTCTGTTATCTTTCCTCCAAATGTTCACTTTTTAGATTTTCTGACATACATACCTATTTTAGGGGTTTTTTTAGTGCTCCAGCATAAATTTCCAGCAGGGGGCAATCTTGTTCCTAGGTAGGTTGTTCATTCACGAAGTTAACCCTCTGATGAACAGCCGTGCCCTCTGCATTTCAAATCCAGGATTAATTCAAGGCCACAGACTATAGGATTTTTTCCCCTTGTCATGTACTTAATAAATTTTCTGAAGCTTCTAAGAGCCTTTTTTCTTACCCTGTCATCATGGAAAGCCTTAGAAACTGCACAAAATAAGGTATTGACCTCTAGCCATCATCTATTCTACCTTCTTTTCTCTAGACACGATTAGCTATATCACAACAATTCTGGATTGACATTATTTCTTTGATGGGGATTCCACTACCTTCCTAGTCTGCCTGTTCTAGTTAGAAACATGTCATAACATTTAGAAACATATTTTGTTGTTTTCCTCTGGATTCCCTTTGGTGTGTTTTAAAAGCAGTATTTATTAGTTCATCTGCAGTGGAAATGAAAGCAACTGCAAGACAGCGACTGTTTACTTATTAGGAGAAGGGGAAAATCACCCTCAGTTGCTGCAGAAAAGAATCATGCACTGGCATAGTCAGAATAAAACATCTCTGTAGCAAGCAGGGTGTTTGAATGAGGCAGTGACATTCCTGAATGCCTAACTACCTTATTTATTATGTTGAGTAGTCATCATGTCCCCCACAGGCTGCTCTTCTTTCAGGTTATTTCATGGGTCTGTTCTGCAGACCCCACCATCCCTGTCTGCCTGTTTTCTGCACATCGCAATTACCTGAATCACCTTGTGCTTCAGACTAGCACTCTCACTCTTTTCAGAAGAGTCCTGTGACCTTTCTTAAAGTTTCTCATGACTAAGATCACAGCTGGTTGATTTTACAGAGCAACTGATTCACCCACCCACTGAATCATGGGCTGCCTACAAATAATGAATGAGAAATTGTTTCGATAAAACAATTAGTGACAAAGAGCAGGAAGATAGTAATGTCAGCCCTTGTCAGCTACGGGGAAGTTGTTTTTTTCAAACTCAGCATGACAATAGCAGCACAGATGCTGCGGGAGTTGGCTACTGATACCAGCCCCAGCTGATAACTGAAGTTTCTTGGAGTTCCCAGAACTAGGATAAAACCTCTGGTAGTTTGACTCCTTTTCTCTTCTGTGTCATAAAACAAGGGCTTCTTCAGAATCCAAGTCATTCCTCTTTTCCATGTTCCTCCTCACTCTCTGGGACATGTGAGGAGCAGCAGCCGCCTTTTGGACTCAGTCCTGGGCATTTGTTGCAGCTGTAGGAAGATACTATGAGTCTTTTAAAGCACTGAGACACTCTGGCTACTTGTGTCTGGTTTTGCACAATTTAGAGTGCCTTGAGGATTGACATGAAAATCAGTTGAAAAGCCACTGTGACTTTTGTACTGCAGTATCTGTTCCATTCTTACTATGCAAGTTATTACATTTGCCTTTTTTATGTTAGTGCAGTTCATACTTAAATACACTAGCTGGTGCTCTACACTAAGCCATGTAATGTTCAGGTGTAAATGCCAGTACTGGTTTGTATAGTTTTTATACCAGACTTTCTCACTGAGTTTTCATTTGGGGAAAAAAAAAAAAATAGGGTGAGGCTGAACTGCATTTTTGCATGTCTGTAGCACACTCAACTCATCAATTGTTAAAGCTTGCTGGCTGTGGGACAAGGCAGCGTATCTTGTGCATACATGTTCATATATAAGGGGAGGAATACTAATTTTCTTGAACTGCTTTGAGTCACTGATATTTGCCATAACATAAAGGAAACTCACAAAAATGTGAGAAGAAAAGAATTGAAATGGAACAAACTTTAAAATTCTAAAATTCAGATAGAAAATATGAAAATAGCTGTTTCCCATAGCTATTTTTCCAATACAGCTGAAATCAAGCAGCTTGTATGTGATATGCTCTGCATATGAGCTTGGTGAAATGCACACAGAATAAAGTTTGCTTGTCAGGTGCTCAGTGTCTCATGCTAGTTTTGGGTAGATGCAGGAAAAGAGAAAAGGGAACATTGCTCCCGATTGCTGAAGAGAAGAAACTTAGCATGAACAAACATCTCTAAAGCAGGCAGTTTTTGAATGCAGAGCAATGACACTCTTGACCAAGTAGTTGCCAACCAGACTATTGCTGATAACTTTAAGATAACATTCCTTTAATTATTTTTACTTTCATAAAGCAGCAATAAAAATGTAACCACTCCAAAACAAAAAGCAGGATGCAGTATTTGAGAGTGATCTACTACATATCAATGGGATGAAACATTTTGGTACCATCTCACCTTGGGTTGTTTTCTACCTTCCTGTGTTTAACAATAGCATGAAAAGAACAGATGTTTGGAAGTCTAGCTGGTTTTCTGTTAAAGTTATTATTGGCAAAACTACAGTTCAAATTCCGGTCATATGTACACAGACTTACTAAATGATGTTTTTCATCTCTCTGCCCACTGCATCCAGTACTTTGTCTTCCCCTCCACCCCGAGGTGTCTTACCCTAGGAGGCTTTCTCTGCAGCTACTACTTGCAGGACTTTGAAAGGCACGATTGTGGCTTCATGTACACGGCCAACCAAAAATTTTGTGAGCACAGGGGAAGAAAGATCTTGTGTCCACCTTAACTTTACACCTCAGTGATTTTACCATAAGGCTAGAGGAAAAACCTAACAGTTTCCTGAGCTCAGGGAACAGAATTCTGTCCTACCCCTTATCCAGATGGAACTGAGGACCAGAGGGAGATTCCTTGGGAAAACTCTTGCATTTTAGTGGGACAAATGAATTCTAAATGTGACTATATGATTTTGAATTCAAAGGGATGTCTTGCTATCTGTATGCAGTCATTTCAGAAATGAAAGCCTTGAAAAAATGAGAGATTGACCTAGGTATTTCTGCAAGGCAAGATGCTCTGTCATAAAGAGGTTGTCTATTCTGAGAGGAAGCTGACAAGTCTAATTAGGGACCGTGTTGTTAATTTTGGTGAGGTGTACTCCAGCATGATAAAGAAGAGAAAGCAGATCCTTTCTTAAAAGACTTATGGATTGATGTAAACCTGGTTTGTCTGCCTTTGCTAGTACATCCCTAGACTGTCTGGAAAGATCTTTTCAGGGGCATAACTACAAAAAGATTTCATATTGAATATCATCAGATCTAATTGCTAATTGCACATCCAAATTTGGCATGTGTGAATTCTGTATAATGCTAAGGGCTTGCTAGAGGCTATCGGCTTGGTAGGGTATAATGCTTCATACATATAATTTGTGGAATGCTATAAAAGTTTAAGATTGCTGTAACTACCAAGAAAAAGCTCTGCATAGCAAAGCCAATATTTCTCCATTTAAAATACTTGTTTTCCCTCTGCTTAGTCCTGCATGGAAAAATGGGAACTTGAGCTAGCCTGCCAGTTAGATCTATAAGTACTACCCAGAAATCATGGGTGCTACCATGAATTTTGAACCTCCAACCTTTTTTGCACAGACACATTTGAAGGATCATAGATAGGAAAGGAAATGCTACTATGATACTAAACTGTTAATCTCTCAGCAAACTTATGTTTTGTTTTCTTATGAGTATGTATTTCTGAATTTGTACCTAAATGTCTGTCATTCTGCATTGTTGAAATAAACCTCTATCCTTCACAGTTAGTGTAGGAAGCGAGATTGGCTAAAATTGACTGAGATGGGGCACCATTGTTTTGGTTGTCATATAACCAAATAAAGCAGGAAAAGCAGGATGTATGAGCATCTTGGGAACTGTCGACTTCAAAACATACTTAGGCAACCAACACTTGAGGAATTGTTCAAATTCCAGTCATGTGTACACAGACTTACCAGGATCCCCACCTTTTTTTTTTTTTTTCCAAAGAACAGAAAATAAAATGACATATGCAACTTTAAGCAAGTCATAACTTATTATAATAATTCCTTGGGAGATATTACCTGGCGATATTGCTCTGACTCTCCTGAAAGGCTAGTATTACCCTGAAACTACTCAGAATAAGGAAGTTAAAAACAACTGTGTGAAAGCCAGCTGTTCCCATCAAATCCCAGGTGCAGCAAGCCCTGCTCTGTCTTTGATCTTTATCTCTGTTTTGTAGTATTTTCTCCAATGTACCTCAGGGTTATGATCACTGAACGTTCTAAGGAGGAAATCAATGGACATAGATTTACAATTCTTCAATATAAGTTTTTAGAACTGAATTACGTTCAGTGAACTTTATCCTCTGCAGGGAGTCAACAAAAAGCAAGTTCAGCCTATTAGTGTGCCCCCACAGTTCCCACTGAGGTCAGGGAGAGTCTGGGAACAGAATAAAGTGCCTGGAAACCACGGATCTACTGATAATACTATAACGAAAATCAGAAGTATAAAATGTAGGTCCAAAATGAAATGAGAATCCATGGAATACCATATAGGAACTGCAATAACCAGTGTAAACCTTGTGGAGTTTCCCCAGTGGTTAATTTGTCCCTCTATTTTTGCATTCATAAATGGAAGAAGAAAAATAAGAGAATTGAAAAAGTCAAAGCAAATGAAGACATTATCAAAAAGACTAATTGCCTGTGCTGTATTTGCAGCACAGGGGAACAGCACGCGGGAAGGACTGAGGAGCTGCACTCAATACTTTTGTCAATTCCCTTGTCTGCTTTTAACAGTGTGAAGCCCTGATTTGATTGTGCAGGTGGTGAAAATTATGACTAGACGGATACAGGGACAAATCCTCAGCACGGCGCATGGCAACCCCTGAGGCGGGTACACTTGTGCAGCCTGGGGGGCTTCTGCTTACAGCAGAGCCTGCTGAGCCCGCAGGGAGCCCCTTCTCCACCTTCCCGCCCGAGCGGGAATGGTGAACAGCAACGGGAAAGCAGCACAGACTCCTCAGTTTGAGGGATTCCCTGGCCCTTTCAAAACATAATAATGTAACTAGCGTTTCAGCTGAGCTAAAAAATGAATCATCCTAAGTAATATGAATTAAAAAATTAACAATTTTTCATTAAAGTGAAAAAAAGGAAGCAACCAAGTAGATAAAGAAGACAACGATAACTAACTCTTGAAGTGTGTTTATACCAATAATCACTTACATCTCTTTTGGGAAGCAATTTTTAAGTTGCACATGGGTGTTTTACCCATTTTGCAGTTACATACACTAAATTCTGCTAAACATCATGGACTAAGTTTAACTTAGTCAATCTGTTGCTGTATATGGGGGAGCTGTGGCCTGTGAGTTGGTGCTGCTGGTTGTGATCTTAGCTGGCCTACACTTCTGCATGCTAGCAGAGTTACAAATTCTTGTCTATTATAGTAATTTCCTTTTTAACAAATATGTTTCTCAAATACGACAGAGAACAGATAGAAAGAACATGTTTCAAGTTGGCCCATGGCTCTATCTCACTCAGTTCCCTTTGCTCCACCACTAGTGAACATAGCAATCCTTCTTGTTTTGGATCCACCCCCTCTTTGAATTTTTAGGGGATCTATAGGGATTTTACATTCACCTCATGCCTTAACCACCAGGTTTAGAAAGTTATCTCCAAAATCCTTAGACTAACAAAAAGCTGGGGCTCTGTTTTAGAAGTGACACCTTTTTTGAGGTAACTAACCTGTTCTTCTAACCTTATCTTTCTTATGAGGAAAAATCATTATTTCTTGGCACTGTGAAATGCTTGAAAGCTGGTATGAAAGTTCTAGAAATATATTCCTTTCTTAATGACAAATTAAGGTATCTTCAAATTAGGCCTGTGTAGGAAGAGAAATATCTGTGAGGTCTATTATAAATAAAGGCTATCTCTGACCAAAATCTTTTATGGTATGGCAATTTACACTAATCACTCTGAGGGTTAAAAGAATCAGTTTCTAAGCAGGAAAAGACTTCAACATGTTTTCATGCTACAATAAATACAGTGGTTCAGCCCTTAGAAACTGGTAAAAGCTACATCTCAAGTATAGATCAGTCAGCAGACATGTATATAAAGAACGTAAACGCCTATGAAGAGAATGGCCAGCATGCATAAATATACAAATAATCACCACAGAAGCAAATACTTAGTTGTTGTATAACACAACTGTGTGGCTCGTGAGTGACTGAGCAGGGGAGAAAGACAGGCAATGGTATCAAATGCAAGCTACGCTCTACATGTTTTTGAATTAAGAGAAAGAAAGCATAGGTGCTAGAGTCTGATCTGCTGTTTTGTTTATGTGTATGTAAGGTTTATGCTTTACATGATCTTTCAGTAAAAACACAAAGACCTTAAGGTTTGCTCTTCTTCTAAGGAGGCTGCCATCTTAAATTTGCAGGGATCAAAACCCTTCAGAGCTGATGAACTAACTTTGCTGTGTATTTTTACTGTATTTACAGAGCAGATAACGATAGCCTTCACAGTGTCCATGGTGGTTGGACTGGCGATTGGAGGGATCATCTGGGCTTTGCTTGCTTGCTTGTCCCGTCGCCGAGCTAGTGCCCACATATCTCAGGGGAGCTCGTCCTCCTACAGCCGCCGGTCCCGACCGCCCTCCCACTCGGAGCAACCTCAGCCTGGCCAGCCTCACCTTCCAGCGACAAGCGTCCTTGGAGCAAGCCAACTCCTTCCCCCGCAAGTCAAGCTTCCGTGCGTCCACCTTCCACCCTTTCCTGCAAAGTCCTCCCCTGCCAGTGGAAACGAACAGTCAGTTGATCACCCTGACCCCGACAAGTACCACCACAACCCTTGTGGGAAGCACCACCAACAGTTTAAGTCGGCCTGAGTTCCACTGGTCCAACAACAGCCTCCGCATCTGCCATTCCACTCAGACCCCTCCTCCTGCCTATGAAACCATCATAAAAGCATTCCCAGACTCATGAAATAGTTTCTTCCTACAGACACACTCATGAGTTTTAAGAGAAACCTCAATCATCTCAAACAAATTTCTATGCGTGCTGAGGATCTCTGAGAAGTCTCCTGAGCAGTGACACGTTGCAGAGGGGACACGCATTGCTAAGGGGTGACTATCACTGATTTTTGGAGCACAATATTCCACCAGCCAAGGAATTACATGTCTTACATGCCACCAGCCCCAATATACAAATCTGCAACAAACTTATGTGTTTATACTACTGTATCTTTAATCATAACCTCTGTATCTTTTAGTTTAGAGGAAAGAAACTGCTGCCACATGAGAAACTGATCGTTTCTTGAAGACAAGACCATGTTAGGAATTCCTGATACATGAATCCTGTAATCATTGAACAACTTCTATCTGAGGAACCTGAGAGCAGACACTGAAGTAGTTTTAATGTCACAGACACTGAATTGTTTTAATTGTTTTAATGTCTCAGACCTGTTGATGGTCATAGGCATCTTGTTTTGCTTGTTTTGATTACAGAGTATCTTAAAAGAGTATAGGTCAGGCTTGTTTTGTATGGGAAATACATTGAAGAAGAAAAAGTACAAAATCCATGGTCACGATTTTAAATATTTTTTAGTCTGCAACCAGCAGAACAGTCAGTCCCATAAAGCCTCTAATAAGGTTTTATGGGAGCAGAACTCCCATATGTTTCATTTTTTTTTTTAGTTCTGGTGATGAAGATAAGCAGCATGAATGACAACTATTTTTTAATTATATTCTGTTTTGCTGTGGGTTTACTCATTTCCTTATTTCAAATTGTATTTTTCAAATTGAACCTATGTTTAATGCCTCCAGGCAAGTTATTCACTAAAATCCTGTGTTTCACTAACTCAAAACTTTAGACAGCTGTGACTGAATACTAGGGTTGTACCATTACTTGGAATATGAAGAAAAAGATGGAGTATTGAACTGAAGCTAACATATCTCCTTGACTGTTGTTGACATGTACATTATGTCAAGATAAATCCCAGCTTAGAACAGAGTAATTGCACTGATAGAAGTTAAGAATTTGGAAAAAGGGCAGACAAATGGGGTATGATTTAAGTCTTATTGGATCTTTTTTTTTATTACATGTTTTGTGTTCAGATGAAGGGAAAAGAATTTTCCACAAGCAGAGAAATGGTCCTATCCCTCACTTACAAAGAAACATTTCATTCTTTAAAGGCCTGGAAATTTCTATAGCTGCAGTGATCCTAATTCTGGGAGGGTTGGTCCTGTGTCTTTATTCAGAAGCTGAGTCCTCACCTGTACTGGGGCAATGATGAATGATTCAGAAGCTTCCAAGAAAAGGAAAAATGCTTAAGATCTTCCCTTCCAGGTCTTCAGTGTCTGGACAGCACACATCCCTCTGCAGAGTTAGCATCCCTCATGTAGCACTAGTATTGACCAAGAGTCTTAACTGTAGTCTTCCAGTCTGATATTTTTCCTTTGCAAATATTACTGCAAACATTCAGCTACAAGCATTGCTTATTGTAAACTGCAAGTAATCCTTCTTGTAAAGGCAAACAATTTTGCATTTATCTACTGACAGGCTTTTGCTATTTTATTTTTAGTGTTTTCCCTTTTAGAAAGATATATGTCATTGCTAGAAGAACAACCATTTACAGAGTTTACAGAGCATTTCATTGCTGACACTATGGGTTCTGTTATACTAAGGACTCGCTGATAAGAGTGTGAAACTGCCTTTTGCTGTAGTAGGCTACAGACCTGCACAATTGCCTTCTGGAGAATGAAGGTTGTATTATTGCATTTATTAATAATATTTTTAAATTTAGATTTTTATTTAGTTTGGTAAAAGTCATTGCATTCATAAATACATTTACAGTGTCCTAACTTTGCAATAGTCTATACCGTTTATTCTAAAATACCTACAAAAAAGCAATCCAAACCTACTCACTTGTTTTATTGAATTTGGTGGTCTGTCTGAAGAGACAAATTCGCACCAAGTTGTCCAACAGTGTTAATTTCTGGACAAGGAAATCATTTTAGAGGAGTAAATTTTTACTCTCAGTTTATAAATCAACATTATATTTCAGAAGAACTTTTCACAACATATTTTTACTTGTATTATACTATATTTAGTAAGCAATGTAGAAAGGAAAGCTTAAATGTACTGTATTTTTTTACTCATGAAATGTGCACTGGATATTAAAAAAAAAAATTGTCTCCTGGATGAGGGAGATTAAAAGCACAGATTTTTTGGTGCATAACAAGTATGGCTGTCAGATATCTAACAGTTTAAACAACGAATGGAATTAATATTATCCAAGCACTCTGGAAGCTTCAGAATGTGAAATAAAGTTAGATGTTATAATCTCTATCTCATGCTTTTCCTTAAAGATAAATGCATTGACTTCTGTAAGAGACACTTTAAAGAGAAAGATTATCTTTAACTATGCAAGCTGGTACAGTTGGAAAGTGTGAATGAGAAATTGGTCCTTCCCCTCCTGCTGTGGGGAGATGCACCAAAGTTGAAAATGTTATACAAATTCAGCTTCAAAGTTTGCTATAGAATAACACCACTCAAGAATTAGAAGTAGAAATGGAAACTATTAGTATTAGGATAGGCTTTGTTTTCTTACAACAAGAGGAATTGGAGGAATTACTTTTTCTTACACTAAGATAATCAAGTGATGTTGTAGATTTTGCACCATTTAAAAGCATTACAAATGTTTCACTAAAAATGTATTTCCAGATTTCAAATCCACTGGTTTCCAAGTTCTTTGACTTAAATCCACAAAGTGTTGGAGCAAATGCTTGCTTTAAACACATGGGCACTCACTATGTAGTTCATGCTTAAACAGATGCATGCACATTTTATTGCATTAGGACAAAAACACATTGCACTGATTAAAGTCCAAATTTGACCATGGGATTCAAGAATCACTGTGTGTATGGTATGCACAAGATTATACTAGCTCATTATAATGGTCTTGTCCAGCCTTTTATTTCAATTTAAAGTACCAGAAAGAACTATGTAATTAAAATTCATTTCTGAAAAAGATTCAAAGAAATCACAGGCAATGAATTAAGGCTCATAATAATTTTGTATATAATACATTATTACAGTAAGAGGCAGTGAGAAATAAGATTAAAGAGTGCTCTCAGATTCACACCTGATATTATTGGCAGAGCTTTAATCAACCTCCAGGTATTCTGACACCTCGTTCTGAAGTAAACAGAACTCCTTCTTATTTCATGAAGAGAAACACTACTCTATTATTGTCTATGTGCACAAAAACTATCGGTACAATTTTAATTTCATACAGAAGCAATAACTCAGCTGCTATCTGTATGAGATTAGTTATGTTCCACAGGATTTACAAAAGCAGCTTCTGCTATATTCCCTGACCTTTCCTTACAGAATTTCTGATCACCACTTCAGACAGCTACTAATTATAATACTATAACACTTTGAACATGCATTATCTTTGCCAAATCAGATTTTTAAAGTTCACTTGCAATTTACCATGAAGTTTTTTGAGTCATATCAACATCCACTCTAAAATATAAACTACAAACTACATTTACTGGAAATATCCTCTCAGAGATGATATGAGACATGCCAGAACCCTGACCTATAGGCACTTTATAAAATTAGATATGATGCAGTACAGCTTCTGTTAAAAAAAATAAATAAAAAAGGAAAGGAAAGGAAATAAAACACTAATTGGAAATTTACCTCTGCCATGTCCAAAGCAGATTAAGGAAAACAGTGTTGATAAAACTTCATGGAACAGAAGACAGCAAATCTAGAAATCAGCCTTACCAGCCTGTTTAAAAACTCAGGTAAAATTCTTGTATGTTTGTCTGGGCCTCTTAAAAAAAAAAAAAAAAAGATTTTTCAAAGGAGCTGAATGCTTGGAATTTCTGTATGACTTTGTGGTGAATTATTTATTTACCTTTTTAAACATGGCAAGGATGACAAGATCCTAATCACTTTTTCAGCTGAAATATCAATGCTGACTATAATTTCCTTGGCACTTTTCCTTCATCTGGGCTATCAAGTTTTCAGCAGGCCAGAGGTGCTGCCACGGGATTTTCTTGAAGCTCTGCAGACAAGAAAAGGAAGACTTTTCCAGTTGGATTTTCTGCATGGAGGACGCTTGGCTCCAGTATCCTCGGTTGGCTGTGCCTAGAGGAACAGCCAGTTCTGGAAGAATAACTTCCACCCTACAGCAAATTACAGCCCAAGGAAGCAATTTGACAGAGAAGTCTGGCTGGCAGGTTTCGTACCGCCTTTTAGTTTTTATGGAAACTTATGGCTCCTATTAGATTTCTGACAACGTTACTGTATGACGGTGGACAGCATCTGAGAGGCTTGCAGTGGATGGTGGAGATATTTCTGTAAACATGTCTGTCTGCCTTCCCAGTGACATCACACAACAGACTTGTGTTTTTATCTATTTAGCTGCAGAATCAAGTGGTTTTCTTCTGAAGGATGTTAAAGAGCAGTTGCACTATTTTAGAGCAAAGAGTTTTTTTAAACAAAAGTAGATTAATCAGCAAAAAGATTGCACAGACTGATGGGCTTCAGATAGAGGGAAATTGGATTTGATGATTTAGGACATAACTGTCTGATGTTTCTGTGTCTATAGACAGCAAACAAAGGCACTAGGACACAAAATTATTCATAACTAGACCAGGACAGACCTGCAACTATTGTGATCCACTTTATTTTATGGCAGCACTTTGATGACTATACATGTGAGGTGATGGCACCATCCTGTTCCTACTTCACAGGTGTGCAAATCACAGCTGGCAGTAATTTGCATCCTTTTGAACTTGGATGAAGAACAGGCTAATGGTTAGGTGTGCATTGAAACAGGACTATTCCTTGGCCTCTAGACTGACCTATCTAGGATTTGAGTAGAAGCACACTGAGGAGGCACATTCTCTGCCCATGCTCTGTTCCTATTCTGTATATCCTAGTGATCTTTTAAAGTTATTTTGGGAAGGAAGGAAGAATCTTTTTTAGATGTTTTCTAGAGGGTGTGTAAAATTTTATGATTCTCATTTAGTGTTTCTCTACTTAGTTCAGCACTAAGCACCAGCTTAAATGATAAAAATACACAGCTTTTCACTCTCTCCTGTTTTTTTGTTGTTCAGCCAAGCAACAGAAAAGATGAGTTTCTTATCCAGAGAATCAGTTAGAGGAATTGATTGGGTTGCATGTGATAAGGCCTCCAGCACTAGTTTGCCAGCATCAAAGGGCTGATTTCTTTTTTCTGTTTTCCCTTGGGCAGATGTTCTGAAAAGTTACACACATCTTTTTGTCACTACTTAACGACAGAAAAATTCTTACAAATTAGTAATACACTAATTCCTGACATAGATATTTTTGAACATTCTGGGTAACATAAGACTGACTTAAACTCCTGCACACTCAACATACATTTTGAATACTTATATACCCACTAAATAAAATGCTTCAAAGTGACTCAATGCTCCTAGGCATTGAGTCACTTTTGAAAATGAAGTTGAACATCAAATATATTCCTATTCCATTTAACCATTTCTGTAATGTACTATCATAAAAAAAACAAATTATATCTCAGAAACTTAAGCACTTCAGAATAACTCAAGCTAGAATGCATGCACGTATGCTTCAGTCTCTCATTAAAGGATCACAAAGTGTTTATGTACATTTTTTGGTTTCATACAGAAACACTGCTGCTCTTGCAACCTGCAGTATGAAGATGTTCAGTGCTGGGCTCCCCAGTACAGCAGAAACACGTAGCTACTCATGTGAATCCAGCAGAGGACTCCTAAGATGATTAAGGACTGGAGCATCTCTCCTAAGAGGAAAGGCTGCAAGAGCTGGGCCTTCTCAGCCTGGAAAAGAGGGCTAAGGGGGTGATCAACATGTATAAGTATCTGAAGGGAGGGTGTATCTGAGGGAGAGTCTAGGGCCAGAGTATTCTCAGTGGCACCCAGCAATAGGATGATAGGCTACAGGCACGAACTGAAACACAAGCAGATCCATTTGAAAATGACAAAAAAATCTACTGCAAGGATGACACAGCACTGGAACAGGTTGCCCAGAGAGGTGATGTATTCTCCTTCCATGTAGATATTCAAAAGCTGTCTCTAGATGGTCCCTTCTATTCTCAAACTCTCTGTGATTCTTTGATGCTATGATTCTGTGATTAATAAAACTGTTCTATTGTGGCCTAAAGGTGTAACAACATGAAAAAGCCTCATATACCATGCCTACACTGAGCAATCTCAGGAAACTTTGTCATTTAGTGAAAACACTGACATTATATTTTATTGTCTATCAAAGATGTTGCAAATGTCTTGTGTTAAATCATATTTGTTTTTCTATTAGCATTGATTATGAAGGCTTCCAGTGAAATAAGGCCATGCATTAGCCAGCCTGTGATTAAAGTCAAAGCTGGACAGCAGGCCACATTGAAAAAATCCTTGCCCTTCTCTCTCAGGGCTCTGAGACATGCAGTAGGTGTAGGTGGCTACTCATGATGTGCTTGCTGAGCCTCATCTCTCCCACCACCAAAGAGAAACTGGTCAGAGTCCAGTAAAACTAAACATCCTGAAGAGGGAAATAGGGACTGAGCAAGCTCAGTGTAGGTTAAAATGTGTTCCATCGAGTCCAGATAAGTCAGAGTACAGCATATTTACCATGATTTTGAAAAGTACTTCAAAGTGTCAGTTCTAAATGTTCTGACAGCGATCCTGAAAGATGCCTGATAGTGTTTCTCCTCATTCAGTAACCCCTGAGCCCATAATAAGGTACCTATTTCTGCATGCCTTCTCACAGACGTTTTATGAGTACAGAAGGATCGACATCTAAAAGTACAGTTTTTACTATAACAATCAAAGGTACGGAATGAGAAAATAAATGTCTCTTATCTTCTCATAGAGCTAACATTTCATCCTTTAATATTTCTTCAACAAATATCTTTCCACTCCCTTTTAATTAGGTGTGTCAAGTTCTGAAGTTGAATGACCAGGACAAGATCAATTCAAAATCTTACCATAACTTCAGTCAACCCACAAGAATCACATACAGCTTGATTAAGTTTCTGATGAATTGTTAATACTGCACAACACAGAGCCCTAGGTATCATCAAGTACATTTAAATATATTAGCTAGGATCACAGAAGATGTAAATAGGTGTTCCTGCTTTTTTCATGCCTACATGACACTAAACATCTAGGTGATTCAAAAACTGCTTCAAGCGCTTCCATTAGAAAAGATTTAAAAACAGACTGTAAACATTTCACACCATCTTGTTTGACACTGTATTCAGAAACTGATTTGTTAGAGATCAAAAACTTTCAAGGCTAGCTGCTCAGTTACATTTACACAAAAATACTGATTTAAAAAATAGTAAAAAATATACTCTAATAGATATTGCTGCTCTTTAGAGGTAGATTTGCAAACAAGGTGTGCTAGCCACATAGTTGACAGTCTTGTTACACAGGCCCAATTCAGCAAAACAGATTGGCTTGTAATTATCCTTAATACTGACCATGGACAATATAATCTATTATTACTCTATTTTTGACTTCAACTGGATTACTCTTATGCTTCATAAATCTGCTTAATCAAAATACAATTTCATAAACCACACTGTTGTAGTGTCTAATTTGAGAGCGTAATTTACACCTATAATGTGATTTCTGCTTGTTGAAAATTTCCTCTTTGTGAAAATAGATGTCTATACCCCTCTATTCCCCAGTCAGTGTTTGAGCATGTAAAATGCTCGGTGAGGATGCAAGGACCACCCTTAGGCAGATACGTAAGGGTCTGAAAACGGGGGGCCATGGTGAATCAGTGCTTGGTCATTCCTTTCTATTATTTGACATGAGAGCAGTACCAGGAACTCCTGAATCACACCTTTGTTTGAGCTTCATTGTGTTATGTAGAGATACCACATCTCATCTCATCTCTCTGGATGATGTTTCTATGAAATAGGATGACAGGAGAAAAGAGCAAAAAGAAGCTTTCTGGGTCTCACTCTACTAAAGGGGGATAATTTTAAAGCTGGCAAGTTTTTAAAGCTGGAAACAAAGATGAGCAAAGCCAGTAGTGGCACAGAGAAGCTGATCTCCCTTCTGTTTAGGCCAGCACTACAGCAATCTTGATTGTGCTTAAGACTGTCTGAAGACAAACTGCCTCCAGCAGGACAAAACCTTACAGAGGCAAACCTTTGTCCTCTATTCTGTTTCTAGAATACATCAGAATTTGACAAAACACCTTCTGTCCTGATAAACTTGGAGAGATGTTTGTTCTGGTTCAGTCTCATCTTGAGCTGCCTGGGAGGCCGATTCTTGAACTGTTTTAGTGACTCTTGCTTATGGGTTCTTTTCAGTTACTTAGTTTTTTGCATGAAATGCAGGTCTGAGTGATCATGCCACCTTTCAGCTACTAAGTCATTTTTATTTTGACATCTTTTACTATGTGCACAAATTCTGCAAACAGAATGATAAGCCACTTTATGAGTACACACAGTTATTTACTGAACAGTGTACCAAACAGATAGCCATGATTAAAAATTAATAAGTTCTTCAGCTCCCATGCTGACAATGAGTGAGGTTCTCCTTGCCAGCAAGTTGTCAGTGAGACTAAGGAATGCAGGCTCCCTTCGGGCAGGCTGATCTTTGACCTTGCTCAACCATAGTTACTAGTACTGCAGGTTGTTCTTGGATGGCCTTTTGGAGCCGTGCTGTTTGGGATGGACATGGAATGTTTGGGTGGTTCATGGAACAGAACCTGAGACTGGGCTACAGATCTTGCCTCAGCTTAAGCCACACATTCTCTGAAATAAAAAACATATATATGAGAGAAAAGAGGGTAAACATATTTGATTTCATCTGCTATTGTTTCTAATATCTTTTAGGAAAAAAAAATACATTTGTGATTGCACATGTCTTTTTGAATGTTTAACTGATACACAGTCTCAGGCTAGGTTTTCCTTCAGACGGATTTACTCCCATCTCAAACCAAGGCTGAAGATCTTGAGAGAATACCTCGATGAGAACCTACCAAGAAATTTTATCCGTGTATCATAGCCTCATCGATAGCCTGGTCAAGTTTTCCTGGAAAAAAAAATTAAGAAGCTCCAAATCAGAATTCGATGGAGCATAAATAGTCTTGCCTCTATATATAATGCAATTATGTCTATGAAAGTGGAATGCCTTCAATTTAGTCTATCCTCTCGAAGAAAATAAATTCAAAATTATTTCCCACACCCCATATAGATGCCTACACTTGTCTTTCATCCAGTTCAGTGCTCTAGACACCTTCTAGCTAGATCTAAAGCATTTTCGGAAACACTCTGGACCTGTTGATGGTCACTCATTTTGTGATAGTCCTTTCTTTTTCCTTTTTTTTTTTT